TCTTTGAAATCTTCTGTTCAGCTCTTTTGTCTTGTCATTTCTTCCATTTGCTTTAGCTACTCTCTGTTCAAGAGCAAGTTTCAGAGTCTCTTCTGACATCCATTTGGTCTTTTCTTCCTTCCCTGTCTTTTAATGACCCTTTGCTTTCTTCGTGGATGATGTTCCTGACGTCATCCCACAGTTCCTTTGGTTTCCGGTCACTGGGTTCAATGCCTCTAATCTATTCTTCAGATGGCCTCCAAGCCCAGGAAGGAGATAATCAAGGTCATAGCTGGCTCTTGTGGACTTGTTTGAACTGTCTTCAGCTTCCTCGTGAACTTGCGTGTGAGCAGTTGATGGTCTGCTCCACAGTCGGCTCCGGGCCTTGTTCACCACCCCTGGTCTTTCCGTTTGTCGTACTGTGGTGGCTTGCACGTTGCTCTCAGGCTGGAGGCTCTGCCTCCAATACCAGCAGGGTCACCCAAGATGGACAGGTTTCAGCAGTTTCCACACTAAGACTCAAAAGAAGGAAGAGGCCATCCACTTCTCCAAGTATTGTCTAGCGAAAACCCTATGAACAGCAGTGAAACACCACCTGATATATTACAGGAAAACACGAAAGGCTGAAACATCGCCTGACAGAGTGCAGGGGCTGACCCCTCAGGCTGGAAGGACTCAAAACACGACCGGGGAAGAGCTGCCTCCTTAATGACGCTGACGGAGTACAGCTTTCGGGACCTCCATTCGCTGACAGGTACAACTCACAATGGGAAAGAACAGCTGCAAGCCTCCATTAACAATCAGAACGTGGAATGTGTAACCTATGAATCAAGGAAAACGGGAAGCTGTCATAAATGAAATGGAACACACCAAGATCAATATCCTAGGCATTGTTGTTGTTGTTGTTTGCCGTCGAGTCGGCCCCGGCTCATAGCAACCCCTCCTTGGGTTTCCGAGACAGTATCACTACGGAAGTAGGATTGCCCAACCTTCCTTCCAAGGAGTGGCTGGTGGGTTTGAACCGCCAGCCTTCTGGTGAGCAGTCAAGTGCCTTAGGCACTATGCTACGGACTGGTTCTGGCCATTTTCAATCAGACAACCATACGATCTACTATACAGGTATAGTAGTTAAGGTTATCTGTCCACTTGGCTAGGCCTGGATGAGACTTGAGGTACATTAGTTGGTATGGCTTTTCTAGCCTAATCTTTGCAATTCCCACTAGATTACTGGGTGGGACCATGCAAATAAGGTGGGCAGAACTCTGACTATGGTGGTTATGTTGTGTGTCAAGTCAGCTGGGCCTGGTTGAGTGGCTGGGCAGCTGGTGGTGGTTATTCCCCACAATGAGACCGGCAATCAACTCCATGGTGGGATCTACCACAAGCAGCTGAGTAGCTGCCTTAGGGAATGTGGTCTGCTTCCTGTATATAAGGAGAAGCCTTGGGAATGGTCTCTAGCCTATGGCACGCTTGGACCCTGCATGTAGCCGTGTCGTTGCTCAGCAGCCTGCTATGCTCGGCCAACCTTGGGACTTACAATGGACATAAGTTAATGGCCTGCCGTGTGGATTGGTAACATCAGGACTGTGCCTTTTTACTTGTCTTCGGGGCTTCTCAGCCTCAGCAGCCAGCAGCTGAGTGAAGAAACGCCTCTGGCTCCAGTGGGCCGGGAGCAGGAGGCAGAGCTGGACCCCAAGGTTGAGGGGGTTTCACCCAGCCCCTCGAGCCTGGCACTTTGAACTTGGACTTAAAGCCTTCAAATTGTAAGAGAATAAACTCCTGTTTGTTAAGGCCATCCCATTGGTGGTATAGATTCCCATCAGAGCGGGACCAGGGAACAGAACACTGACGTTGGGATTGGTTAGTTCTGTCGCTCTGCCAGGCTTACAATGAGCCCTCCTAGGGGCAGAGGGGGCATCTCACTGCCATCAGGAGAGAAGAGCCAGAGAAGTGGCGTACATCCTGGGACCCGAGACCCCTGTCCTGGGCCTCCCTGGCTGAGACACCTTGGCAGACAGATGCCCCGGCAGACAGATGGTGGCAGTAGAACCAAGAAGCGCGAGACAGAGTGGCAGGCTTCCCTGGCCTGTAGAGACAGAGGCCAGGCCAAGAGGCTAAGCGGCAGAGAGGCAAGTCTGAGGGCAGAGCAGAGGGGAAGACGGTCCTGATGAGAGAGCTGCATCCTGAGAGTGCTCCTGACCCTCAACTGCAGCCTCTTACTTCCCTAATAAAGCCCGTCATCTGAGTACTGTCTGTGAGTTCTGCGTGGCCACTGCAGCAAATTATGGAACCCAGCAGAGAAGTCGTGAGTGCCGTGGGAGGGACGGCTGGTGTCAGAACTGGTGAAGGGCTGGAGGCTGGTGGCCTGTCAGGTCTCATAGGAATACACCATGAGCTGCTGAGGGTGATTCTGTCGTGAATTAGAGATCAGAAAATGCTGTCCCCGTGCCCTTTGTGCAGACAGGTCACCAGCTCCATGGTGGGATCCACCAGAACAGCTGAGCAGTTGCCTCAGGGATGTGGTCTGGCCCCGGTGCGTAAGGAGCAGCTTTCAGAAGGGTCTCGAGCCTTGGCCCATCTGGACCCCGCATTTGGCCGAGTCTTCATCTCAGTGGCCCACCATGTTGTCTGCTCATCTCCGGACTTTCTCTGGACTTGAACCAGTGGCCGGCTGTAGGGTTTGCTAACATCGGGACTGTGCCTTTTTACCCGTCCACCTTGGGTTTGGCAGCCTCAGCAGCCAGCAGCTGAGCGGAGAGAAACCTCCAGCTCCAGTGGGCCAGGAGCAGGGGGCAGAGCTGAAGTCCAAGGTCAAGGGGCCTTCACCCAGCCCCTGGAGCTAGCACGCTCCATTTGGACTTCTGGTCTCCTACACTGTAAGATAAATCCCTGTTTGTTGACACCATCATTTCTGGTGTGTCTGTGAGAGCAGCAGAGATAACCAAACACCAGGAATGAAAAAGGGCAGGGCAAAGTCATGGTGTTCATGTGCACGGAGAACGTTTCAGCCCCTGTTCTGAAATGCAGTGCTGTCAGGGATAACACCCACACACCTACAAGGAAGACCAGTTAATGCTACTATTATGTAAATTTGCGCACAGACCACTAAGCCCAAAGACAAGGCAGCGGAAGAGGTTTACCAACTTCCGCAGCCTGAAGCTGACCAGACATGCAATAAAGAGGTACTGATAATTACTGGTGACTGGAATACAAAAGCTGGAATCAAAGAACCACCGGTCATTGGAAACTATGGCCTTGGTGATAGAAATGACGCTGGAGACCACACGACAGAATTTTACAAGACCAACAACTTACTCATCACAAATACCTTTTGTCACCAACACAAACGGCAACTACACACATGGACCTCGTCAGATGGAGCACAGAGGAATTTATGGGAAGAGGCGATGGAAGAGAAAAACTGGAAAGTGCCGAATCTGAATTTGTGGACCACCGATTAAGTGTAACAGCAGACCACACAGGAAAAGATGGGATGATTGAGAATAGAAACGGTTCCGTACAAGAGTCCAGAATGGAGCCTACTGAGGAAAAAGGGTGGAAAGAATAGAGTTTAGAAGACGCGTACAACAGTCAAAGTACCCATTGTACGTATAATTGAGTCCAGAAGCTACAAGAAATGGGGAAGAAACAGAATAATCACTAAGAACTCCCCAAGTGTCCATTAGGACGCCATTCCTAGAGCCCGGGAACCCAGGATAAGCACAGAGGACCACACCTGGAATGTCACAGCCTAACCACTGACGAGGAAAAAGAATACCTGTCCAACGCACAACGGCCAATGCCGCCAAAGGCACAGGTAGTTACACACCTGACTTTTCCACAAAACCAACATTGGCCAAAGCCAATGAGACAGAACTGTCCAAACATTATAAGAAACAAATCTGCCCACAAAGAAAGTGATGCCCATGAACATGCCCCCCAGAAACGGAAGCCAAACCGTGACTCTTTCAGACAAGCAAAGGTGCGAATGACTGGCTGCCAGCACACTGGCCCAGGAAACACTGCAGCGGTGGCTGCTCGGGGGGCGGCCGGCCCAGGCCCACTTACTCTTCTCGCTGTGTCTGCTCAGGTGCAGGCTGCTGAGGTCAGCTTGGAACTGGGGGCCCACCATGATCTCCTGCAAAGACAAAGCCCAGAGTCCCACGGGGAGGCCAGGCCACTGACGCCCTGTGTGGCCAGTGGTGACAGGCAGGGCAGCGCTGACCCACGGATGCCCAGGACAGCAAGCCCAGGGGCAGGTCCTTCGGGTCCCTGCTTTCCAGGGAGGAAACGGGTCAGCAGTGGGGCTTAGGGGCCCCAGCTTTCAGGCCAAGGGCACAGCACAGGGGGTTCCTGGGTTGGGCTGGCCCCCGGTCCATGGCTGCACACCTTCTTACACTTGTTGGCGGGAAGAGAGTCCTCCTCAGTGTCCGAGGAGGTGGAAGAGCTGGGCTCCTTGTCGCCGCCGGCCAGGAAGCGGGCTTTGGAGAAAGCATGGGGTCAGGAAGGGGTGGCCACAGGCTCCTTCACTGGCCCCAGGGTGAGTGGACCCCAGGCCTGCACAGCCTGGCACCGACACACCCGTTCTCGGTGCGTCCACCCCTCTGCACTGCTTCAGGGGCTCATGTCCCGACCCTCCTGACCCAATGCTACCTGACACGCAGCCCAGCCACACAGCTGGCACGCCAGACACGGAACCTGGCTGCCTGGACAGTGCGATGGGACCCCTTCCTCAGCCCCTCTTCCCCCTGCAGGCACTAAACCACGGCCCTGAGCACCCCCACCACAGCCCCTCCACCACCGGGCCAGAAAGCAGAGGAGGTGGGCTCTCGCTGACCCCGCGGGGCCCAAAGCCAACCCCCTCCACGCCCTCAGCTCCAAGAGCCAGCCTGTCCCCTCCCCTGTAAGAGACTGGGACTGAGAACACACAACCCCGGCAGGCACCGCCTCCCCGCCAGCCCAAGGTCCTTCTGAGGTGGGGGCACCTACGTCCACTCTGGCTGGGGAACAGGGCTGAGGCCGTGTGGGTGGTCACAGACGGGGTGAGGTCGTCGGCGGACGACTGCGCCTCCTCCTCCCCTGAAAGCAGGTCCTTTGCTATCTGTTCCTGTAACGACAAAAAATAAAGAATATTTTTGGACTTAATACCACTAATGATGGCAACATGTTAGCCGCCATCACCCTGCAAGAGATGTATGTGGGCCTGACAGCAGGGACCAGGGAGGGGCAAGGCTGGGGGGGCGCCGGAGAGGCAGCTGGGGGAGGGAGACAGGAGGGAGACGCACCATCCACCAGGACCTAGGGCCACGGGACACCACTCCCACCAGCAGGGCAGACCTCCCACTTCCAGAGAACTCTCCGGCAGCCGGGCCCCGATTCAGGACCCCTCCTCACCTTGTCCAAGGTCATGTCTGGGAGCGGGGGGGCAGGGTCGGTGCCCTCACTCTCCTGCTCGGAGACGGGGTCGGAGGCCTCGTAGCCGTAGAGCGCCAGCAGCTCGTCCAGGGGCATGTCGCTGCTCTGGGGAGGCAGGGCTCCGTCAGGGGCTGCACAGGGTTCCGTGGGCCTTCTTTCCGCCCAAGACAGACCGTCCCAACCCTCAGCAACGGAACATGGCCACCTCCTCCAAACCAGCCCCCAGGCCCAGGGGGCTAGAGCCCCGACAAGAGGCACACAGGAGACACCGGAGAGCCCAGCTGTCCATCCAGCCCTCCGCCCCCAGGGCCCTCAGAAACGCCGCACACTCGGCCGGGAGGGTTAACTGCAGGGACTGCCACTGCTCCTCCCTCAGGGAGTGACAAGAAGCAAAGGAGACCGTCTGATCGATGGAAAACCCAGCACCCACCCCTGCTTAGCGAAGGGAAGACAGAGACACCTCGTCATGCAACGAGGAAGCTGCCACAGATTGTTGCAACGAGAACCTCGAACAAAAGGAGGCTACCAGCAGCAGGCTACCCAACGTCCCGTGGAAGCTTCCAGCCAACACGACGTGACCAGACACCGCATCACGAGGAGGGAGACATCAACGCGCCACACTTTCCAGCACCGCCTCTCCGCCCGCGGGCCAGCCCCCACCAAGGCCAGGGCCCTCTGCCCTCCCGGTCCTGGGGGCTGCTGTCAGCCTCCTGCTTCCTGGACAGTCCCTGCTATTCTGGGGGTGTCAGCACCGTCTCACCTCCACCCCAAACCCTGCCCTCCCTCATCCCGGGGCTCAAGTGCACAGAGAAAACCACACTGGCTGCTTGCGTCCCATGCTCTGGTGGCACCCCTCAGCCGCCACGCCCATCAAACTGTCCCGTCCTTCCCTCACGGGGGACATCCCACACACCAGCCTGGCTGCCGACTACACACCTTTTTTCGGGGGGGGGGGGGTAGCACAACAATTCCCAGAGTGTGGCCCAAAGATGCCTGCATCCAAGAGGGCTTTCCGGGGCCCCTGACGTGAAACTGTCCTCCCAGTAACAGTCAGACGTGGCTCCCACCCCCACTGCGCTAACACAGGCCAAGGGCAGAAGCGGCACCCGGCTCAGGGTGCAGCAGCCACCACGCTACCCCCCAGTTAACCAACACAAGGTCCACCTTCGGACACCTGTAAGATCACTGACAGCAGACGCCTCCCCTATCTCTCGTGCGAACACCCAAGGCTCACACAGTACAGGTGATGGTGCAAGCAGCCCCCACACTAAATCAAAGGCCACAGGTTTAAGGGTGGGTCCGGCTTCAGAGTCCACTCAACACCCACCTTCACAGAAGCACCCGCGGAAATCCGGGCTAGTGTCAAACACGGACACGGTTGTCCACAAAGGCCACCATGCCCCTCTCCTTTCCCAGAGCAGATCTGGGAGAGGTTAGACTCAGACTCCCCTGAAAACAACAGGCTGATCTGTGGTACCATAAACGACCGGACCTTCGGCTCTGCGCCTGGCTACGAGGGCATCAATGACAGTGCGAGGCAGACCGCACTCCCCCTAACATCCGTGTTCTGACAAACGCCCTTTATTTTGATACAAGCAGTATTTCCATCAGCCCGTACGGGGTCATCGTTCTGTTTTCTCGTTGGTAAACAGGCCCTTCAAACGCTCTGACCCGATTTAGCACATGCTTTATGGCCACACACAAAAACACACAAACGGAAGCTCTTTCAGATGTGTAACCACGTCCAAGGACGTCAAGGTTCTGGGACCAAAACTTCTGAGTAGGGCAGGTGGTGTCTAGGCTGGCTCTGCCAAGAGCCCCACAAAGGCAGCACGGATCACGCCTCGGCCATCCCCACTCGTCCCCGCTGAGTCCCATCCATCCCACCTGCCACCCTACCAGGTCCCGTGCCCACTGGCCCATCCATCCCTGCCGAGTGCCGCCCGCGCCCGCCGCCATCCCCGCAGAGTCCCGTCCATCCCGCCACCATCCCAGCAGGTCCCGTGCCCGCCAGCCCATCCATCCCCGCCGAGTGCCGCCCGTGCCCGCCGCCATCCCCGCAGAGTCCTGTCCATCCCGCCGCCACCCCCACCGAGCCCCGTCCATCCCACCGCCACCCCCGCCGAGTGCCGTCCATCCCGCTGCCACCCCACCAAGTCCCGTGCCCGCCGGCCCATCCATCCTCACTGAGTGCCGTCCATCCCTCCGCCACCCCCGCCGAGCCCCCATGGAGTTCCAGCCATCCCCAGTCAGCCCTGTGTCCCATCCCCGCTGAGTCTCAGCTTCCAGTCAGGCGTGTGTGCTGTAGCTGTGGAATCTAAGTGGTAGGGGACTTGTTTACGGCCCGCCCCTCACACCAGGGGTCCCCGTGAGTACCTGGGAGGTGAAGTCCTTCCCCAGCTCCTCCTCAGACTTCTCCGGGCCCCCAGTGGCCGCCTCACGCCCCTCCCGGACGCCGTAGTTCTGGGACAGGATCTCCACGAGGCTGAATTGCTGGTCGGCAGAGCCCATGGACACAGCTGCAGAGGAGCCCACGTGAGCCCCTCGCAGCCCTCTGGCCTCCTGAGGTGGGGGGCTGGGGGCCAGGGGGAGGGGTCTCTGGTGCCTGGATCTCAATCCCAGGTGAGCAGAGGCCTCAGGGAAGGTGCAGACCACCAACGCCCCCCAGCCCCCAATTCTCCACCAGTGAGGCCCCCCATCCCACTCAAGAGACTGGCCATGTGTCGGGCTGGCAGGACCCCAAGGCAGAAGCAGCCTAGTCTACTGCTGGGGGCTTGGGGCGCCCAGAGACAGTCCTGACGGCTCGACCTGCAAACCACTGGCCCACGAGCTCGGCACCAAGCCCAGCTCAGCCAGCCCAGGCTGGCAGTTTACGTCAACAACCAAAAAGGCCCTGGCATCTGGGGACGGGGGTGAGCAAGGTACCTGCTGCTGTCTGTAAGCCAGGCTCCACTGGGCACAGGCCGTGGGCAAGGCCGGAGGCCACGCGAGGACCCTGCCTCCCCGCCGAGGAGGCCTGCGGAGGAAAGGGCAGCCGTCAGGTGCGTGCTCGTGCTCAGGGAGGGGCCCCAGCTGGACAGGGAGCTGCTGAGGGCTGCGAAGGAGGCACCACGGGCCAGGCAAGGCTCGCTCGTGTGGGTGCAGAAGATGCCGCTCCTCGCCTCCTCCTCACAGGCCCCAGACTCTGACCCCAGGGCCCCTGTATGCTGGGGGAGCAGCCAGGCCCCTGACTTTCATTCTGGGACGCAGCCATCATCCTATGAGGAGCCCAGGCCACATGGAGAGGCCACGTGTAGGTGTCCCAGCTGTGGTCCCAGGCAACCACCAGTGTCAACAGCCAGTGCGAGGAAAATCATGTCAGTGAAAAGCCTCAGTGGTGACCCCAGCCTCGACCACCAAGTGACAGCACCACAGGAGGCCCTCCGTAAGAACTGGCAGCTAAAGCCCGTCCACGCTCAAAGCCACAAAGACAGGACAACAGAGTATATTTTAAGTGAGAACTGCCTGGCTGAGCCCATACATAAAACCCCAGAAGACAACACAGTGACCGTGGCTGTGCTCACTGAGAAGCCCCTGGCCAAGCCCTGTCCACGCTCACATCCAGATGGTAACACAAAGACGGCAGGTGTTTTCAGTGAGAACCGCCCAGCTGAGCCCTGTCCACCCAAACAACCACTGAAGGGAACCCAACTGCAGGTGTTTTGAAGCCACTTAAGTTTTGAGGGGATTCACGACGCAGCAACAGATGTAATGGGAGCCATCCCCTCCCAGGTGTCACCCTTGGCTTTGCTAGCACCCACGCCCGGTCTGGGTGCTCCGTCCCCTGCTGGGCCGTCCCGTGTTGCGGGGGGGCGTGGCCACCATCCTGAGCAACAGGTCCTTCCTGCCTCCACCCACAGGGGCTCACAGTCGAGCCAATGACACAAACAACTGTCCACCTACAGTACAGAGGAAATGGGGAGGGGCCTAGCCAATGGAGGGCATGGCTAGAAGGCCTCTGGGGCAGAGCCTTTGCCCTTCAGGGCTTAGAGAACCAAGAAAACGTAAGGAAGCCCAGGGGCCACACCCTGCAGCTGGGGGTCTGGGGGGGGATGCTGCGTTTGAACCTCAAGATGATAAGAAGCCGTGAACGGTTTTAAGCAGAAGACAAAGGTGTTCTGTAGAAGGTTAATCTGTCTTCCGTGAGGGGGCAGAACAAAGCGCTCCAGTCTGCTCTCGGGGCACCTGTGGGTGCTTTCCAAGTCAGGCAGCCAATGAGATGTAGGCTGACGGAGGGCGACAGGATGCCATCTTATTGGTTAGCAGCAGCGGGACATCAGCAACCTCACCGAGGCCAACTCGCGTGCGCAAGCCACTACATCACTACACCACGATCGCGCAAGACCTGGCGGCTCTGGAAGGCTACCGCAAACGCCCGTCTTGCAGACGGGGAAACCGAGGCTGAGACCCTCAGTGACCTGCCCGAAATCACGCAGACCAAGAGGCTCCAGAGGTCAGCAGCCGAGGCTGGCAGTGGCTGATGTGGACCTAGGACTCAGCCAGTCCACATTCAGGCCGTTGATCCCTTAACTGACCAGCGTCCCTGACCAAACTGCTGTGCCCTCAGGACTGCACAGGAGCCTCACAGACACGTGTCCTCCTCAGGACACTGGCCAGGTCACTAACTGGACACCATCCCACATACAACAGCTGCAGGAGCATCACCCACCCCACCTCCACGCCCCACTGCTGTCCATCAGGTGGGCTGCTCAAGGACCGCTTCACTGCCCGGGGAGGCCAGCTGTGCCCAGAGCCAGGCACCCATACATAAACTCAGGGCCAGGAGACCTGGCTTCTGCCTGGGGCCCTGAGGCCAGCCACCATCCTCTGGAGCCTCAGTTTCCCTAAACGCGCCCCAAGGAAGGAGAAGGAACTCTCTAAGAACCCTCTGGTCCAGCGACGCAACACAAGCAGGGAACTGTCTGCTGAGGCCTGAAGACAAGCCTCCTACACCCTCTCTGGTGCAAACAACAATAAAGTTACCGATGAGACAAGTCAGCCCTGCGCTCCAAGCTATCCACCCTGCAGCTCAGGTACTGGCTTCCCCAGGCCACGAGATACGGGTCCCTCTCTGGACCTGGTGTCTGTGAGCCTAACTTCTGCCTCCCCAGAGCCCGGGCCCGCACAAAGGCAGCGTGGGTTCGATTTTCCCGGAAGAGTCGCATTTATCGGCCCCTTCCAGCTGGCCCTTCACTTAAATGACCTCATTTTGTCCTCACTGGGGACCCTGTGAGCTGAGAGCACTGGAGGGCTATGCCGTCTTATCTGCCTGCCCGCCGCCCAAAAAGCTCGAAAGCCAGAACTTTTTCGTTGGCGGCTATTCTTTCCTCATCCCACACAGTCCTGGGTGCGCTTCTAACCTTTGGGAGTGTGGCCAAGCGTCACACCCCAAACCCTTAAAGCCAAGCCTCCACTCAAAAAACCCGACTCCCAAAGTACACCCTGGCCCCGCGATCGGCACGGGATCTGGGCCTGCTTCGAGGATTGGGGCATCGGAAGCTCTGAGAAGTTAACTTTCCGCTCTGGTGACGGCCATTCTCACTCTGAAGAGACCCTTGCCCCGACCCTGACGCCTCCGGAGCACCAGGTCTGCACAAGGTGGCGCCAGGTCGCGGGTTCGGGTCCTGCCAAGGGTCTGAGCGGGCGGGCGGGTCCGTGATGTTCAGCACTGAACAGGCCGAGGCACCGCGTACCCCTGGAAACTGAGGGGGTGCACAGGGCTCCCAGGCACTCTGCAAAGTTTGCAAACGCCGGGAGGGACCCCGCGCCGCGGGGGCGGAGGACTGCGGGAACCCAGGTCGGGCCCCGCCCGCGGAAGCCCCCTCCCGCGGCTTGGGCTCCCGGGGACGCTGAGACCCCCGCCCGGCCCGCGCCCCGCCCCTCCCCACCACCGCCGCGCATGCGTAGTGCAGCCCGCGATGTGGCACCGGGAAGGGGGGGCCGGGCCGGGGGCGGCCGCCACGGAGCCCCGCGCCCTTGGCCCCGGGCGGGCGCAGCGCCCAGAGCCTAGCTCCAGAGCCCCAGCGCGAGCGTCTCCACGCCCGGGATTCCCGACGCTGGGTTCCGGGGCCGGGGGCGCGGTGCGGGGACCGGCTCCCCCGGCCCGCTCACTCACCTCCGCCATGGCCGTGTGTGCGCGGGAGGCGGTGGCCGCGCCGGGATCCCCGGATGCGGGGCCGCGTGCTCATTGGCTGCGGCGCGCGGGGGCGGAGCCGGGGCGTGCCGGCGCGTAGTAGGTACGCGCGCGGGCGGGGGATCCCGGGCGCCGCCTACCGGACCGCGAGGATGCTGGTGTGCCTCAAGTTCGCTGCACTGGGGTCTGGACTCGACCTTGAGAGGAGGAGTATGTCATTAATAAAATACTGATTCCCCATAACCACACCTGCGTTTGAGCACGTGGTCCCATTTTTTCCGTCCCACCTGTGGACCGATGGGAACACCGAGGTCCCAGTGCATGAGCGATGGAGCTAGAGTTGGAAGCGGAGCAGTGTGGTTGGAGAACTTCCTGCACTTTTGCACCTATTGGGATAATTGGAAAATGCACCGGTAAATCGGGCTTTGAGAAGCATAAACCACTGTCGTGGAGTCGATCCAACTCAGTGAACCTTTCAGGACACGGTTAGAACTGCCCCATAGGGTTTCCAAGGCTGTGAATTTTTATGGAAGCCGTCTGGGGAGAGGCTGGTGGGTTGGACTCACCCACCATTTGTTTAGCCGTGGAAAGCTTTAACCACTACGTCACCAGAGCTCCTTCTGAGAAACCTGGACTGATACTCGGTTGTGGGCAAGGAAAGTGGATTAGAACTCAGGACCATTTGACTCTGAAGCCGGATTTTTTAATTATTATTATTGATTGATGTAATGTTATGGGAGCTCCGGTAGCATAGTGGCTAAGACAGTTGCCTGCTAACCAGACTGCTGGCGGTTCAAACCCACCAGCCACTCCTCGGAAGGAAGGTTGGGCAATCCTACTTCCGTAGTGATACTGCCTCGGAAACCCAAGGAGGGGTCGCTATGAGTCGGGGCTGACTCGACGTCACACAACAACAACAACAAATGTTTATGGAAAGCTAGCACATATTTGGGTCCCTGGGTGGAGCAAACGGTTCAGTGTTTCACTACTAGTGGAACAGTTGGTGGCTCAGACCCACCCAGGGGCTCCTGGGAAGACAGGCCTGGCATGGGCTTCAGGAATCACGGTGCTGCAAACCTTATGGAGCAGTTCTGCTCTGTGCACTTGGGGGCACCAAGGGTGGGAACGGACTGAACAGAGACTAACTGCGTGCCAGAGCCTCTGCTAGGCGGCTGGGATGGAGTTTGAACAAGGGGAGCTCAGGATGGGGTAGGGAGGCAAGGATTCACCATGTTTTCAGTTTCAGGCTGATGGAATCATGCAGGCAGGAGGTGTGGAGAAGGTCGGGTTATAGGTGAGACAAGTGAGGAGGCAGAGGGGTTGGAGCGTGGACCAGGGAGGGCTGTGATGGTGGGACTTGGGAGAAGTGGAGAGCGTTGGGAAGGTAGCCTCCACAAAAGGGACGGAGTGAAGGTGGAGGGGGGTCAGGGGTGACCCCAGATTTCTGCCTTGAAAGAATGAGTGGATAAATGCACGATGGCGAGTCCTACTGAGACCCAGAAGAATAGAGTTGAGGAGGGTGGGGAGTCAAGAGGCCATGAGCCAATGGAACACTGAGAAGTTGAGATGCACCAGGCTTGAGGCTGATACAGAAGGAATATCCCATCCCTCGGAGAACTGTCAACCCAGAAAGGGAAGAACCACTCTTGAAAGATCTGCCCCTGACCTCTACAGTTACATGTCAGGGAGCCCCCACTCCCTTTATTGGCTGATGTCATTTGGCCAGGGGGCTCAGGCCTTTCTGATCGCTAGCCCACTGATACAAGGAGCAGTTGGTTCATTCAGTCAAGGAACTAAACTGTCCTGTGGTTCAAATGTAGGAGAATATCCTCACTAAACTTATTCTTGCAACTATCCTTAAGCTTGGATTTATTTCCTAACAAAGTGTAAAGAAATAGTCTACAAAGCAGTCCTCTTTGAGCTGACCCCTAAAAGAACGGCAATGGCACAGAGGTTTGAACGAGCACTGGCCACTGAAGGACACACGACGGAGTACGCGCATCTGTTTGTGGCTTTCCGGCATTTGTCTGCTCGGTGTGCTCCTCACTCATTGACCTGGCTAAGGGCTGTCCCGGAGAGAGAGCCTGGCTGGGGGTTACATGGTTCCCTTCAGGCTAGGACACTTCTCAGAGCTGGAGTGTCCCGGAAGCTGGGGGAAGAGCGCGGAGGGCCAGCGGGAGGCCTTCTGCACCACAGCATCCGCTACATTTTGTTTTCATGTTTTATTTTTTTTTCCTGAGAATTTGGGTAGCTTAAATTTTTATTCTAGTGACTACGTTTATAATTAAGATTTCATATAATCTACTTAGTTCTATTTCTTTACACCAGTAGTGTCTGATAGAAATACGCTATGATACAAGCAGCTGACGTAATTTTAAATTTCCTAATCATCACATTAAGGAGCTCTGGTGGCACAGTGGTTAAAGCATCGGGCTACTAACCAAAAGGTCAGTGGTTCAAAACCACCAGCGGCTCCGTGAGAGAAAGTTGAGGCAGTCTGCTTCTGCTGTTAAAGACTGACAACCTTGGAAACCCCGTGCGGGCAGTTCCACTCTGTCCTCCAAGGGCGCTGTGAGTTGGAATTGACTGCAGTGCAGTGGGTTTGGTTTGGGCTTTGCTTCTGTGAAGATTGACAGCCTTGAAAACCGTGTGGTGCAGTTCCACTTTGTCCTCTAGGGGCGCTGTGAGTCGGCGTCAAATACACAGCAGTGGCTTTAGTCACCACATTGAAAAAATAAGTGAAAAGAAATTGGTGAAATTAGTTTTAGTAATATATTTTATTTAACCCAATATACCTAAATATATCATGTTTTCAACATGTAATCAATATAAAAAGATATTAATGAGATAGTTGACATTCTTTTTCCTGTGCAAGGTCTTCAGGATCCAGTATGCATTTTACAGTGACAAACACTGCAGTTCAGGTCAGTCGTATTTCAGGAACCTAACAGCCAAGTGTGGCTAATGGCTACCATTGACTCTATTATAAAAAAAAATACATTAGCACATTTCCCCTTTGTCCTTAACCCTCCCTCTTCTTTTTACAGACTCCTAGTTGATTATCTTTCTTAATGTTTACCATTATACTCAAATACACTCAAACTTCTTTTATTGGAATTCCCAGTTTTAAATGTTACCCTTTGATGAAGGAACCTGTGCATCTGCACCACTTATCTCCTCTCTCCTGCCTCTCTGTTTTTGTTAGATCATTTCCAATGTTGAGATTCACAACGTTTATATTTATAGCCACTATTCTTAGGCTGCGATGATGCGCTCAAGTATAGCAGGGATTGTGGGGCTGGCGTGGGATCGGGCAGTGTTTCATTCTGCTGTGCATGGGGTCGCTATGAGTCAGAAACGAGTCAGAAACGACTCGACGGCACTTAACAACAACATAACAACAACATTCTTAGATTTGGGAGTTCTAGTGGCAGAGTGCCTAAGGCATTTGACTGCTAACCAGAAGGCTGAAGGTTCAAACCCACTAGCCACTCTCCGGAAGGAAGGTTTGGCAATCTACTTCCTTAGACATACCACCTTGGAAACCCAAAGAGGGGTCTGATCCAACTTGACAGCAGTGAGTTTTTTTTGTTTTTTCCTTTTTTTCGTTTATTCTTAGATTTGATTTCATATTAGTCCCAAAGTTATACTGACACGGTACTCACCCTCCATCCTTTTACAGTGATTTATTCACTCATCAGTTGGCTAAAGTTACCAAAACCCACTGCCATCAAGTTGATTCCAACTCATAGTGACCCCCATGGGGTTTCCAAGCAAGTAAATCTTTACAGAAACAGATTACCCAGTCTTGCTTCCACAGAGTGGCTGGTAGGTTTGAACCACCAACCTTCTGGTTAGCAGTCAGATGCCTTAGGCACTATGCTACCAGAGCTCCTAAAATTACACCTCATATAACTTCCTCAGTAAATTCCTTGAAATCTTGCACATTCAATAATATTTGTTTCTTTATACTTAAAAGATAATTTGGCTGGGTATAAAAGTCCCTCTTCACATTGTCTCTGTCCAGCAGGG